TCACTCTAGCATGAGTTAATACTCATGCTAGAGTGATAGCAGCGTGAGTGATGTGCAAAACCAGTTACTGTTCGACTCTTGATATGTTATCCTAGATCACGCTAATAGTTTATTGGATTTGTTAATGACTGGATTAGGCAATTCAGGTGTTCCCTGTTGTCGTATACTGATTTACCCACAATGGTCAGAATAGTGAAGAGTAGCGGTTATCCAACTGGCTACACGCGGGCCTGAGGCAGATCTCCTGTGCCAGGTAAGTCCACGACGGGTTCACCATAGCCCGTGCTACTTGGAACGTTTTGTTCAGAGTAGCTGAATTAAAAAGAACGCGGCCCAAATCTGGCACTTTGTAGAATTCAGTCTCCCGGTCTCTTTCCAAGTGGGCAAAGACATGCTTGAGTAACATTGATGGAACATTATCGACGTTGATTGCAGACGAAGCTGCAAAACTTGCAACTAGAAAATGTAGACATTTACATGATTCAACGTTGATAACAGCTAAGGTTTTATAGCACTGAGGACAAACAAACCCCCACATCACGGGAGACATCTCCCGTCACGCAGGGTGCAGTTGCACCTCCACAGATCTCCAGTATCATCTGATACTGGTGATGGCTCAAAGGGGCCACCACTTACGGGCTATTCATGCCCGTGCCACCTTTCGGGTGGCTTAATCTTCATCAATCAATCAATCAACCCCCACATTTCATGCTTCATAAATTACAATGCATTGTTATGCGAGGCTCTGGCCCCATGCAATCTGGTCTCCAACCTTAAACAGAAAGACATTCTCTCTGGTCCAGATATGAGTCTTTCGCTAGTTTTGAGTTTGCAATTCGGCAACAGTCGTAAAATAAACGAATGGCTCAGGTTAAGCGGTTGTCAATCATTGGCTCAGGTTAAGCGCTTGTCAATCATTGCCTCAGGTTAAGCGCTTGTCAATCATTGCCTCAGGTTAAGCGCTTGTCAATCAATGGCTCAGGTTAAGCGCTTGTCAATCATTGGCTAAGTTAAGCAGTTGTCAATCATTGGCTCAGGTTGAGCGCTTGTCAATCATTGCCTCAGGTTAAGCGCTTGTCAACATTGAGACGCAACCTGCAGTATCGGGTCAATGCCCCAGTGAAATATATCTAATTCAGGATCAAGTGCCAATTAACTTTACGTCTTAATTTGAGTACACAAACGACTTTGTTAAATTTACTAAATATGAAACACCGTAATTAGTAATCATGTTCTATCCAAGTAAATGCCCTCAACGATGATTGTTCTGTGTACGTAATTTAGTAAACAACAAAATTGATAGTAAGTGTATATTTTTTCTACCTTAACGTAGAAAGGTATTTTCTGCCTTTCTACCTACCTTTCTACCTTTAGGGACCTCGTAGCCTGGTGGATAGCGCGCAGGACTCGTAATTCTGTGGCGCGGGTTCGATTCCCGCACGAGGCAGAAACAAATGGGCAATGTTTCTTTCAGCCTGAATGCCCCTGTTACCTAGCAGTAAATAGGTACCTGGGTGCTGCTATATAGGGCTGCTTCCTGGGGGTGGAGGCCTGGTCGAGGACCGGGCCGCGGGGACACTAAAGCCCCGAAATCATCTCAAGATAACCTCAAGATTAACACTAAAATTCAGTTTAAGCTCATGAGCAGTAAACAATTAGCACATGAATTACCAATAACACATCGTGGCTCATAGCGACTAAATTTGCATGCTTATCTTAACATACTAAGTAGGTTAGGTAAGGTCGGTGTTTTCTATGAATCTTTTTAAGGGTATCTATTATGTTAAGTATGTCACCTATGCACATATTTAATAAGTCAATATTGACTTATTAAATTTGCGAGAACGGGTTGAAATTTGCATATAAATTTAATAACTGTAACCAAAAAAACTTGGGTTGGACGGTATAGAACGACAGTCTCGCTTCTTGCAGGTCGGCGTTCAATTCCCGACCGTCCACAAGTGGTTGGGCACCATTTCTTTCCCTCCGTCTCCACGTCCCATTCCAAAGTCTTATCCTGACCCCTTCCAACTTCCTTCTCAATCCTTCTCCCCTTTCTCCTACTTTGGCCTCTCTTACGACCAAAGTAGGAATAGTAGAAATTTAAATTTTCCTGGAATTAGAGAAAAATGTTGTATATTACTATAAGGTAAAAACCTTTTGGCTGGTTTTTTGGTTTTCAAACAATTTAACCGACGGGCTATGCCAGAAACCGTTAAGGGGGGGGGGTGTAAATGTGACATTGGTATGCTGTTCCATCTAGAATTCAGGCAACCCCGATCAACCTATGTCTGTTCCGTACCCCAGACCATTCCCTTTGCAAAGTTGGGTAAAGCTAACCCCTCCCCCTCAACACACATGAAATGAGATGAAAGCGGCAACGTTTCGATCTCTCCTGGACCTTTATCATGTCAACATGATATGAATCATGGAATGGGCGAAACATCTCGCCGCATTCCTTTCTCTTCCTTGGAGGAAGAGAACTGAACTTTCACTGTATCCTTGGAGGATACAGTGGAGGTTCAGGAAAACTTATCATACAGGATACAGTACATCTCTGTAATGATATGTTACAGGAGTCCTAACAGACTCTTAACTTCCTGATTTACAGATGACAATAAAGAAAGGTAGACCTATGCGAAAGATAGAAGATAGAGAAAAAGATAGAAGATAGGGAGAAAGATAGATAGAAGATAATGCTGTTATCACGAGAAAGCGAGAAAGGAGCCGTGTAATTGATAGTATATATTAATTAAGTTTCACTACCCTCCATATGTATAAACAGTAAATAAAAAAAATTAATTTGGTCTAAATGATTATAGATTATCTTCAACGCTCCCAACGCTTGATCAATGTTTATGGGGGATCTGTAGCGCGGTGGTCTACGTCTTCGGCTTCCACCCGAGGATTGCCTGGCGGAACAGAGACGGTTGAGCACGTTTTGTTACACCAGATGCTTCTGTTCACCTTCATAGGCAACTATTATGGGTTCCATTTTGGAGATGGTTATCAGAAGCTGGCTTAAGGTGGGGATGGGGGGGGGACCACCCCCCTCTCAGCTATCCTTCCACCCCCCTTTCGGCTATCCTCCCCCCCCACCCTCTCACTCTCAACCCCATTTTCTCTTCCCTGGTTTCCTCAGTCAATTACCGGTCGTGGAGGGAGTGTGAGGTTAGGTTAGGTTAGGTTAGGTTAGGTTAGGTTACCGGTCGTGGAGGGAGGGTTCCCTCACTCTACATTCTTCACTGCAAATCCTCTTCACTCTCACCTCTCCTCACCTCTCTCTCTCTCTCTCTCTCACTTCTCCCAGCCCTCTTCTAGACTCCTCTCATCTCTGGGGCCATCTTCTAGCCTCCGTCCGACTCTCATGCAGCTCCTCTCTCTCTCTCTCTCTCTCTCTCTCTCTCTCTCTCTCTCTCTCTCTCTCTCTCTCTCTCTCTCTCTCTCTCTCTCTCTCTCTTCCAGCATCTTTTCTCTCACTTTCTATCTTGGCTTTCACTCCCAGCTTCATTCCCTACCCAAGCTCATATCTCCACCTCTACTCCTCTCCCTGTTTGGTGTCACTGGTGTTTGGTGTCAATTATTTTCGGTATGAGTTTTGTTGACACTGTTGAGGGGTCAGGTTGTTGACACTGTTGAGGGGTCAGGTTTGTTGACACTGTTGAGGGGTCAGGGTTGTTGACACTGTTGAGGGGTCAGGGTTGTTGACACTGTTGAGGGGTCAGGGTTGTTGACACTGTTAAGGGTCAGGTTGTTGACACTGTTGAGGGGTCAGGTTGTTGACACTGTTGAGGGGTCAGGTTGTTGACACTGTTGAGGGTCAGGTTGTTGACACTGTTAAGGGTCAGGTTGTTGACACTGTTGAGGGTCAGGTTGTTGACACTGTTGAGGGTCAGGTTGTTGACACTGTTGAGGGTCAGGTTGTTGACACTGTTGAGGGGTCAAGTTGTTGACACTGTTGAGGGGTCAGGTTGTTGACACTGTTGAGGGGTCAGGTTGTTGACACTGTTGAGGGGTCAGGTTGTTGACACTGTTGAGGGGTCAGGTTGTTGACACTGTTGAGGGGTCAGGTTGTTGACACTGTGAGGGGTCAGGTTGTTGACACTGTTGAGGGGTCAGGTTGTTGACACTGTTGAGGGGTCAGGTTGTTGACACTGTTGAGGGGTCAGGTTGTTGACACTGTTGAGGGGTCAGGTTGTTGACACTGTTGAGGGGTCAGGTTGTTGACACTGTTGAGGGGTCAGGTTGTTGACACTGTTGAGGGGTCAGGTTGTTGACACTGTTGAGGGGTCAGGTTGTTGACACTGTTGAGGGGTCAGGTTGTTGACACTGTTGAGGGGTCAGGTTGTTGACACTGTTGAGGGTCAGGTTGTTGACACTGTTGAGGGGTCAGGTTGTTGACACTGTTGAGGGGTCAGGTTGTTGACACTGTTGAGGGGTCAGGTTGTTGACACTGGGGTCAAGTTGTTGACACTGGGGTCAGGTTGTTGACACTGTTGAGGGGTCAGGTTGTTGACACTGAGGGGTCAGGTTGTTGACACTGAGGGGTCAAGTTGTTGACACTGAGGGGTCAGGTTGTTGACACTGAGGGGTCAAGTTGTTGACACTGAGGGGTCAAGTTGTTGACACTGAGGGGTCAAGTTGTTGACACTGAGGGGTCAAGTTGTTGACACTGAGGGGTCAAGTTGTTGACACTGAGGGGTCAAGTTGTTGACACTGAGGGGTCAGGTTGTTGACACTGAGGGGTCAGGTTGTTGAGACATAACCTCACCAGGAGTTGTTAAATAAGATGTCATTACCCGACAAAAAGTGTCAGTCTTATATTATTGTATCTTTTTCTTATCTATTATATCTATATGTAGATTTTTCTGAAGATCAGGAAGTCGTGCAGAAACAGCAGGACCACCACCACCACTAGCACCACCACTAGCACCACCACGCACCACCACCACTACCACTAGCACCACCACTAGCACCACCACCACTACCACTAGCACCACCACTAGCACCACCACTACCACCACCACCACTAGCACCACCACTACCACCACCAGCTATGGCCACCACCACCGAGGACAAACACCTGGCTGACGAAGGGCTCCATAAGCCTGAAGAAGACCTACACTTTAAGGAATACATTTCTGAGTTCTTAAAGGTGAGTCACACGTCTCTGTTGACTCCTCCTGTGTTTTGTTTCCTCTTTAGTACCTGAAAAAAATTATGGGTCAAAATTTTTTAAGTGTTTAGATTTTTGGGAAGTGAGAGAAATTGACTTGCAATATGTCAATATAAGTATAACTAGAAGAAATTGCACAAACATACTCTCATTTAACAAATATATATACAAAATGACCTTTTGATATACGTATTCACATACGCAAGAAAGATATCAGCTTCACCTTGCCATACACAAAATTTATACTCGAACAACATCGTCAAATGTATACATTTCTGAGGTTAAATAATTGTTCTGCCAGCTAGGAGTTATTTGACTTAAGTTTCGTCTTAGATATTCTAATGTGTGAGTGTTGCCAGATCCGCTGTAGCAACACCTTGGACCTCCGGGGAGAGTTAAGACTGTCCGCCAAGTTTGGCAACACTACGGGCTCCAAGGAACAGGTGAGTGTCCAGTCTATTGATGGTGTTGATCTTGACAGGTGACTGTCCAGTCTATTGATGGAGTTGATCTTGACAGGTGACTGTCCAGTCTATTGATGGAGTTGATCTTGACAGGTGACTGTCCAATCTATTGATGGAGTTGATCTTGACAAGTAACTGTTCAGTCTATTGATGGAATTGAGCTTGACAGGTGAATGTCCAGTATAGTGATGGAGTTGATCTTGACAGGTGACTGTCCACTCACATCAGTGTCAAGCTCGGCAATAAATTTTCCACTGGGGAAAATGTAATTAAATATTGTTATCCTTCATAATGCAAATAAAAGACTGCCTTTTATAATCAAAATAATAATGTTTTATTATATTACCGAGATATTCTTATAGAATGTTGAAGACAGACAATGAAAGGTAAACACTACAGCAGTAAGATGAGTAGTGACATGGTAAACAGTGTTAATGGCTCTGGTTTGTTTATTTGATGGTTGGATTTCCCCATGCTGCAGCCCGACCTCGGGCTAGGTTCATTCCATCCAGCGGCCGGCCCCAAAACTTTAACTTAAACATGCTTTTCATTCATAATTGGAATTTTCTCGAATATAAATTAATATTATTATATATTAGCGTATTGCACATACTTAGGTTACCTTAAGGTTACCTTGAGGTGCTTCCGGGGCTTAGCGTCCCCGCGGCCTGGTCGTCGACCAGGCCTTAGGTGTTGGTTAGATTAGGTGTTTAGGTTCTGTTTAGGTTCTGGCAATGATTTGTATTTGCAATCCGCAACCCGTCCTCGACTCACGTCCATTACATCCAGCGGTCGACACGCATTCATAAATATTAACATGCTATTCATTCAAAACAGAAATGTTCTCAAATATAAATTAATATTATAATATATTAGCATATTGTGTGTATATAGGCATAAGTTAGGTTAGGTGTCTAGGTTCTGTTGGCGATTATTTGTATTTGTAGTACGTGGCTGAAGCATTTACAGCGTTGTGGTTCGAGCACACTCGTGAACGAGTCGTGAGACTTTTAACTGCAGCCCGTCCTCCAAAGACCCAAAAGTGATTCCATCCACCTGCCAACCCCCAGCTGTTTATGAATGGAAAATGGTTTACACACGACTCACAACTGATGGCGTTCGAACACTTCCGGAACAATTGCTTCACTGACGACTTTTGTTCAAACCACAACGCTGTAAATGCTTCACCCACGTACTACAAATACAAATAATTGCCAGCGAAACCCTAAACACGTAACCTAACAACGCCTATCTAGCCATAGAAGCCTAATATATGATGACTTTTAATTTACACTTTAGGCCAAACAAAATAATTTATACACCACGCTAAAATTGACGAGAGCGTCATTAGAGTTGACCGCCGCTGGCCAAGTCTTGACAGGTTGTGGATGGTTGCCAAGGTCACCAGTGTCAAGAGAAGGGGAACACTCAGGACAAAGCGCCAAGTCATTACGACTATATAGCACTTGGAAAGAATCATTATTAAGGATTTGGGATGGGACGGAGGAAAGGAATGGTGCCCAACCACTTGTGTGGCCGGCACGGGGATTGAACGCCGACCTGCATGAAGCGAGACCCGTCGCTCTACCATCCAGGGTTGCTCACCCTCGCCTTTAGAATCAACATATCTTCAAATAAGATTATCATCAGATAAACATCACCAAATAGATGGATCTGATATCCTAGGCAGGGCGCGGTTTTTCCAAATGATATCCTCCCCCTCCCCTTCCCCCCTCCAACACACACAGTACAGCAAGCACAAGCGTTTCCGCACACTGCAACGCTTCATGACTAAACAGGCCGCCGGCAATACTTACCACAAAATTTTCCAAGTCAATACGTAGTGTGAGCAATATTTGCACGCTCCACATGCTCCCACTCGGGGATTTGGCTGTGGCATCACGTCCTGGGCATCCTGAGCATACGTCGCCAGGCGTACCCTGGGTGTGTTTCAACCCAAGTGGCGGAATTATGGAAATTGAGTCCAAACACGCAATGCGAATAGGATGGAAAGCGGGAGAGAGAGAGAGAGGGGCTATCTTGGTCTGACTTCTGGGCTTAGCGTCCCTGCGGCCCGGTCCTCGACCAGGCTTCCATTTTGTTACACATCCCCCATAAAGCAGCCTGTAGCAGCTGTCTAACTCCCAGGTACCTATTTACTGCCAGAGAAACAATCATGAAATTCATCATAATAAGATTGGTGCGACTTAGGACCTGTGATGATTTTGGGATAGTGTTGATGGTTAATTGATGTTATCAACGGGGGGGGGGTAGAAGTCATCATGGGGTTTGTTGATCATCTTGCCGGGGCTGTAGTGTTGGAATGCACGTGATTCCAAACGATAGTAGAATATTGTGAGGGGGGGGGGGAAGTTGTGTGTGTGTGTAGCAGTGATGGTAATCACCATTTTCACATCACTATCACCACATCTACAACCACTCGTACCACCACTAGAATCACCACAACTCGCAGCTCAGCCACTAGCACTACCACCACTCAATCACCAGCCGCTGACACAACTACCAGTAACACTACCACTACTCACATCAACATCCATCTCTCTCTCTCTCTCTCTCTCTCTCTCTCTCTCTCTCTCTCTCTCTCTCTCTCTCTCTCTCTCTCTCTCTCTCTCTCTCTCTCTCTCTCTGGTGCTGCGCAATTTATGTATTGGGATTCCGAGTACACTCACTCAGTATGTATAACATGTCAGTATGTGTTATGTGTCAGTATGTATCACAGGTATCACTATGTATCTCGTATTAGTATGCACAACGCTGCAAATCAGACATGATAGGGCTCATCTCGCCGCAACCTTCAACATACTGAACAAATTTGGAGATGTTAATCTAGACCACTTGTTTAGAAGGTCAAATGTAAAGCTTAATAAGCTTAACCAGTTCAAGCTCACCTTCTACACTGTAACCAGTTCAAGCTCATAAAGCCCCACTGTAACAGCTTAAAGCTCAACAAGCCACACTGTAGGACAGAAAACGAGATACAGTTATTCCCACAGGATTATAAACACGTGGAACCGCCTACCCGACAAAGCCATAAAGACTATGAAATTGCTGCAGTTTAATATCCACTAACAAAAAGTTCCCGGGGACGAATGGAGGCACTGTCGACAAGCCGCGGGCTTTCTGTCCCTTTCGAGGGCACTAGAGAGATGGTGGCCCTCGGATGAATTCAGCTAATTAAAGGGAGGGGCCCTGTGTTCAAGTATGTATCCAAGCACATGCGAAACCTGTACATCTTCCCTCTGTTTACATTAATTAAGCAGTTAATGAGCTCCGAAGCCCTAACAGATTGTTTATAGCAATAATTAATCTTGGGTTAGGAAGTTTCGAAACTTGTAAACAGTTGAACAATTGTAAACAAAGCCGCCATGATTGAGAAAAGATGTACAGCTTTCGTGTTTGCGTAAATGCTTCCTGGTACTGAAAGTTGTGAGCAACAAACAGATGGGAAATCAACAGACGAACCAACCAACGGTATTCAACGGAGACAGAGAGATACGAAAGAGGACAGCAAGAGACAGAGGCCGGCAGACAATCAATTGGACATTGAAAGAAACGGGCAAACACAAACAAACAGACAAATAAACAAGGCAGGACTGCAAACACCCAATTATTGTTTTCGTTTGATTACCGTTGCGCAATTAGGCAATTTTAACTCGGCAATTTCAAACGTCATCTGTGAGCCGGTGAACACACACACACATGACATTTTAAATTTCGCGATTAAAACTTTGTAATTTAAACTCTTGTCATTCGAACCGCCAGATTTAATCTCTGCCAAATTAAGACTCGATTTTACCCCTTGTTCCAACATGGGCAATTAAACTTTCCGGGATTTAAAGTTTGCTATGTAAACTTTGTCATTTCAAACTTTGCTATTTAAGGCTTTTAGTTTAAACTTTTCTATATATTTTTTTTTTTACTGTCGAAACTTAAGTTTGTGATTTATAATTTTGTCTTTTTTTAATCTATAGGATATAGCTAAAAGTTTTATTAATCAAAGTTGTGTTATCTGCTGTTAACTTTTGCTATTTGGTGTTAAATTGTAGTTAGTTTGTGTTATCTGTTGCTGGCAATGTGTTAACTTGTGATAAACAAATATACAAACAAAAATGATTAAAAAACAACAATAATCAACATTAATTTATGTTTTAGGAAGAGAAACAGATTTGTGTTGACAAAAACTCCTTACAGTTTCCTTAAGTGTAAAAGAAATATAGCGTTATTGTCTTGTATCGGCGCCCCGAGGCTTAAGGGATTCCAACCCCGGAAATTGAGTCCCAGGATAGAGATATGGACGGATAACTGGACAGAGAGACGGACAGAAGGACGGTTAACCGGACAGGTGGACGGTTAACCGGACGGATAGACGGATAGACGGACGAATGCCGGGATAAATGAATAGAAAAAGGCTGACAGATTCCTAGACAGATGAATGGATAGATAGATAAAAGCAGGGACAGATAGACGGCAAGGTACATGGACAGTTTGACTGATAGACGGACGAATACAGATAGATAGACCTGTCCCACTACCCCATCCTCACAACAAATTGCTCTCGTTTCGTATATTATTGTCACAAACGTTACAAATGCAACCTACTATGAACCGTCACGTGTATCTTACGTTTTCTATGCCTCGGAGTGAGGTAGGTTAGGTGGGGGGGTTGCTTGGGTGCGTACGTTTCTGGGTTGGGTTAGAAGGTTGGGTTTTTAACGGAGTGTCAAATCAAGAAAACGGGCTGGGATAGAGGCATAGGCCTATAGATTGTTAATATGGACTTTGAAAACCACAGCATAGGCCTACCGGAACTTGGTTCTTGGGCTGTGAAATAAAAGATTCAATTTGATTTTTATAATAAGCAATAAAACCATATCATATTGAACAAATCCACAAAGGGCCGTGATGAAGGTTCGAACTTACGTCCAAGAGGTTCCCAGACGATTCCCAACCCGATATCATATTCTTGTCTACTTCTTCTGTTTGTTCTCTACCTCTCCTTCTTTTGCAGCCCCTTATTCCCCTCTCTCTCTTCCCTGTGGCTCTATTCTCCTTTCTCTGTCTCTTTTTTAGTATTTCCTTTCTCTTGATAGTTCCCTTCCCTTCTCTCACTACCCTTTCTCATTCTTTATTTTCCCTCCCACCTCTTATACCTCTCCTTCTCACCACCTCCTCCCGTCACGAACGATGCCCAACCACTTGGGATGGACGGTAAAGCAACGGTCTCACTTCATACAGGTCGGCGTTCAATCCCCGACCGTCCACAAGTGATTGGGCACCATTCCCTTCCCCCCATCCCCAGTCCCATCCCAAATCCTCATATCCTGACCCCTTCCAAACGCTATAAAGTCCTTGTATAATATATATATAATATAATAATTGTATAATGCATAGTCCTTGTATAAAGCTATAATGTCTTGGCGCTTTAACCCCACTGATAATTCCTTCATTTCCCTTCGTCAGGATCCGGACGAGGACGCCATGGCGGTGGTGTACATCGTCTTCGTCCTGCTGTTCTTCGCCACGTCGCTCCTCGTCGTGCTGGTCAAGTACATCCGTAGGGAGAAGGAGTCGGTCCGTCTGGAGAAGTTCTACGAGGAATACATGAACAGACGACACGACAGGTGGGAGAGAGCAACCCGTCCTCGACTCAAGTCCATTACATCCAGCGGTCGACCCCGCAGACGCATTCGTAAATTTTAACATGCTGTTCATTCAAAACGGGAATTTTCTCAAGTATAAATTAATATTATAATATATTAGCATATAGTGCATTTATAGGCATAGGATAGGTTAGGTTAGGTGTTTAGGTTCTGTTGGCGATTATTTGTATTTGTAGTACGTGGGTGAAGCATTTATAGCATTGTGATTCGAACAAAATTCGTCAGTGAAGCACTTGTTCCGGATATGTTCGAACGTCAGCAGTTGTGAGTCGTGTGTAAATCGCTTTTCATTCATAAACAGGGGGTTTGGCGGGTGCATGGAATCACTTTTGGATCTTTGTTTGGAGGACGGGCTGGAGAGAGAGGTCGTGTGTTCAGACTCGTCTTGTGGACACTTGTTCAATTGGATTCAATGGCCCATGTGTTCGTGCATTGTCCGGTGTTGGCTTGTGCTTAAGACCGCTATATATTAGGTTCTCCTCGCGTTTTTTTGTTTGTTTATATATTGAATAAATCCACAAAGGGCCGTGATGAGGGTTCGAACCTACGTCAGAGAGGATCCCAGACGCGCCTTAATCTATATATGTATTATTACTTATCTCTGTTATCTTAGATATCAGTGAACAGTTCCAGTAGATAACACTGCCATAGGGCTGGCACAAAGATGACCAGTGCACACATAATATATGTATATATATATATATATATATATATATATATATATATATATATATATATATATATATATATATAACTGAAAACTCACACCCCAGAAGTGACTCAGTTGCATATTGTCCTGGGGACCATTCAGGCTTGTTCGCATTTGTGTTCCTCACGTGTGCCCCAAAGAATGAGGTGATTTGGTAAAATGCTATGCCCAAGATTACTATCCGAGTGCCGGCGGTGGGGTGGTTCAAATAGCTTAGGCTATCACCTCATTATGTCCGGTCGTGATGGTCAAGTGGATTAAGGCGTCTTGTACATACCAGTTGCGTTGCTTCTGGGAGTATGGGTTCGAGTCACTTCTGGGGTGTGAGTTTTCAGTTGCATATTGTCCTGGGGACCATTCAGGCTTGTTCGCATTTGTGTTCCTCACGTGTGCCCAATGAGGTGATTTGGTAAAATGCTATGCCCAAGATTACTATCCGAGTGCCGGCGGTGGGGTGGTTCAAATAGCTTAGGCTATCACCTCATTATGTCCGGTCGTGATGGTCAAGTGGATTAAGGCGTCTTGTACATACCAGTTGCGTTGCTTCTGGGAGTATGGGTTCGAGTCACTTCTGGGGTGTGAGTTTTCAGTTGCATATTGTCCTGGGGACCATTCAGGCTTGTTATATATATATATATATATATATATATATATATATATATATATATATATATATCTGGCTCTATTGGTAAATTTACAGTTCTTTCCCAATAAGCTTTTTAGCTCACATAGTTATATTAAAGAAATTATTATCGGGGAATTATGCATATCAGAAACCCTTTTATATAACTTTTTAACGTGGATTTACCACACTTTCGTGATTAATTGTAAGATAAGCTGTGATTAATTGTAAGATAAGCTGTGATTAATTGTAAGATAAGCTGTGGTTAATTGTAAGATAAGCTGTGGTTAATTGTAAGATAAGCTGTGGTTAATTGTAAGATAAGCTGTGGTTAATTGTAAGATAAGCTGTGATTAATTGTAAGATAAGCTGTGATTAATTGTAAGATAAGCTGTGATTAATTGTAAGATAAGCTGTGGCTAATTGTTAGATAAACTTTTAACAACAGTAAAATATGGCTGTGATTGCTATGTGATCTTCGTCATTGAATATCGCCGCGATGCATAACTTTATTCACATATACTAATATGTATTCTCCTTACTGTAGTATGTATTAAACTTACATGAAGGGTGGTTGATGTGATGTTACGTTATCTTGATCTTTCTTGAAGTTAGGTTTAAGGCTCTGGTTATGACCCCCCCATCCCCCCCCCCCCCTGATAGACAGCCCGGGGGGGGGGCTAGATTCACGAAGCTGTTACACAAGCACTTACGAACCTGTGCATCTTTTCTCAGTCTTTGGTGACGTTGTTTACAATTATTAAACAGTTAATGAGCTCCGAAGCACCAGGAGGCTGTTTATAACAATAACAACAGTTGATTGGGAAGTTTTCATGCTTGTCAACTGTTTAATAAATGTAACCAAAGCCGCCAAAGATTGAGGAAAGATGTACAGGTTCGTTAGTACTTGCGTAACTGCTTCGTGAATCTGGCCCCTGGCCACCAGGGTGAGGGGAGGGGGATATACGAAGTGTTATCGAGCTGATGCTACAATTACGTACATTAGTTTCAAAGACAAATGACCAGGCAATTCGTACCACCCTTTTTGCTCCAAATTCCTAAAAAAAAAAAAATCTTCGTTTTTTTTTTTTTGGGTATCGTAATTGGTTATCGAGAATAAAGGACAGTGAACTGGAATTGGCTGACACGCCCCAATTAAGAACAGGGCCGTCGGGTGTACGGAATCGACGAATCTGTCAATAAAGACGTGTCATGTTATAGACAACATTTAAGAGCTTAATGTTGATGGTTTCTTCGTAGTGGCCTCGACAGGTTGAGGTAGTTCTAGGTTGTTTTATTTCCAGTTAGGTACAACGATGTCATTCGAGAGAACGGGTTGGGGGTCGTTAGCCTCCGGACGAAGTTCCCGCCAAACACACACCTAAACTACGACGTTGGTACAACGTTCGAACAAGTTTTAACACCTCCTAACCAGTTATAACATTCAATATAGCAAATTATAACAACGTTCTAATACGTCATAAACACGTTAAGCCAAGATGTAACAACTTTATTACAAGTTGTAACAAGCGGAAAATAGAGACAGGCGATGAGTCACAATAACGTGGCTGAAGTATGTTGAAATCGACTTGAGAATGGTCCAGGACGGACCGAAACGTCGTCGTCCCTTCAATTTCTAGTGTGTGGTCTGGTCAACAATAGAGACAGTTTCGGATTGTGTTTCCAGGGTTAGTCCCCATTGACAAATACCGAATTTAGTCTAAGCCGTTGTTGATGCATATTGGAATTTCAAACGACGGACTCGGAGTAGGAAATGGCTACTCGTACCCTGAGGCCAGATTCAACAAGCTGTTACACAAGCACTTACGAACCTGTACATCTTTTCTCAATCTTTGGCGGCTTTGTTTACAATTATTAAATAGTTCATGGGCTCCGAAGCCCCAGGAGGCTGTTTATAACAATAACAACAGTTGATTGGCAAGTTTTCATGCTTGTAAACTGTTTAATAAATGTAACCAAAGCCGTCAAAGATTGAGGAAAGATGTACAGGTTCGTAAGTACTTGCGTAACTGCTTCGTGAATCTGGTCCTTGAGCTGGGGTTGTGAGCCTGGCCATTGGCCCGCGACACGGGCCTAGGACATGATGGTAAACATTAATCATGTGGTCAGTGATCTGGTTAGTGAATTAATCTATTTTAAGACATGGTTATCTTCTTGAGGTTATCTTGAGATGATTTTTCGGGACATTTTTCGGCCCAGTCCTCGACCAGAAGCAGCCCGTAGCAGTTGTCTAATTCCCAGGTACCTATTTACTGCTAGGTGAACAGGTGCATCGGGGTGAAAGAAACTCTGCCCCATTTGTTTCCGCCTCCGCCGGGGATCGAACCCGGAGCCTTAGGACTACGAATCTCGAGTGCTGTACACTCAGCCGTCAGGCCCCCTATGAGGCTATGGGTACCCACAATTGCACTAGTGGTGTGTGTATGTACACCACCACTAGTGTAATTGTGGGGACCCGTAGCCTCAGAGAAGAGAATACAAGGTACACAGGGAACACCTTGCTGGTTCTCGCTAAAAACTTGAGTTCTTCTCTTCTCTTCTACCCATCTCTATTTGTTTTATTATTTTATGGAAATATATAATATATGTATAGTCAATGAATCTGCTAATGATTTTAACCATTTACCTCTCTCTCTCTCTCTCTCTCTCTCTCTCTCTCTCTCTCTCTCTCTCTCTCTCTCTCTCTCTCTCTCTCTGTCTCTGTCTCTGTCTCTCTCTCTCTCTCTCTCTCTCTCTCTCTCTCTCTCTCTCTCTCTCTCTCTCTCTCTCTCTCTCTTCTCTCTCTCTCTGTCTCTGTCTCTCTCTCTCTCTGTCTCTGTCTCTGTCTCTGTCTCTGTCTCTCTCTCTCTCTCTCTCTCTCTCTCTCTCTCTCTCTCTCTCTCTCTCTCTCTCTCTCTCTCTCTCTCTCTGTCTCTGTCTCTCTGTCTCTGTCTCTCTGTCTCTGTCTCTCTGTCTCTGTCTCTGTCTCTCTGTCTCTGTCTCTCTGTCTCTCTGTCTCTCTCTCTCTGTCTCTCTGTCTCTCTCTCTCTCTCTCTCTCTCTCATCAACAGTTTAATTGTCTACTTTGATGAATCTGGGCGGCTTCTTCAGTCAGTCCCTGGCAGGAAGCCTTCAGGGGCCAAGCCACGACCCTCTACCCCTGATGCCACGCCCACAACCACGCCCACGACCACTCCTGTAGCCACGCCCACCGTCACCCCTGTAGCCACGCCCACCGTCAAAACTGCACCAGTTTTTCCTGTCAGTAAAACCTATACCAAACCAACTCCTGTGTAATAAAGAAACTTGTTCCATTAGTTCTGTTTTATTCAATAATTTTGTATTTATTTTTACAGTTTTCAATTATTCTCAATTTTTTAATTTATCTGTTAATTTATTCATATTGTTAATGTATTTGTATTCTAATGAGTACATAGAGTAAGCCTGATGTATTTGTTAGCCGTTAATCGTTGTTGTTGTATTTAAACACTGTATGATGTATTTTTGATGTATATTGTCAATGTGGAGTGCATATTACGTATTATAATGATTTATTGTATTTTGTGTATTTTGAGTATTTTCCTGGTAAATATATAAATGAATATTGTATAATGTATGTTATATATTATGATGTATGCAGCGTAGTGCATATCGTATGCAGCATAATGAATGTTGTTTATTGTGCAATGAATATTATTTCAAATATAATGTATTGCTCATTGTATACATTACACCACATTTGTAGTAGGTTTGTACAGTCTGTCACACATTACATACATTATACAACTTCGCTACACATTTCATACAATACTTTAATACAATTTGGCTTCATTATACATTGATGTACCATATTATGCATACCGTATGTGGAATGCACTTGTATACATTATTTTGAATAATTTAGTATAGTTACTTGTATAAGAACATGTATAAATGAGAATGAATAAATATATGCGTGTATAACAGATGTTCATTATTGTATCCTAAATTTGCTAAAGGACGCTTATCATACAAGCTAGAATACATTTATACATATCAAGCATGTATATAATCACTTCACAGGAAGGCTATATGAGAACTCGTAATTTAACTCGGCAGTTAAGGGGGAGATGTAATCAAATTTAAGGGTCAATCCTTGTTTATTTAGGGTCAGTGAATAATAATTAGCATCGATTTCCATATCAAAACCGTGTGAAGACCAGGGGCCAGATTCACGAAGCAGTTACGCAAGCACTTAACGAACCTGTACATCTTTTCTCAATCTTTGGCGGCTTTGTTTACAAATATTAAACAGTTAATGAGCTCCGAAGCTCCTGGAGGCTGTGTTTATAACAATAACAACAGTTGATTGGCAACTTTTCATGCTTGTAAACTGTTCGATAAATGTAACCAAAGCCGTCAAAGATTGAGGAAAGATGTACAGGTTCGTAAGTACTTGCGTAACTGCTTCGTGAATCTGGCCCTATGTGAAGTAAGTAAGTAATTATCAAAAAGAAGCTCTATGTGAAGATTTTATTCTGGACAAAATTATTTTTGTCATATTTCCCCAGGAGAAAGGGCAGGGAAACTGAGGGAGCAGTTCAGTTGACGTGTGTTTTGGGGTATAATCACCAGAGGTCTCTGGCTGCCCTTGTCCTAAATGCCTCAGTGCCCTCTCAGCCGTTGGTGGGGGTAGTCTGACGGCCTCCCGTCACTCGCCTCGTTGGTAGTCGCCCTCGACGCCTTAGTAACGAGGATAGTTTAAGAGTGTTGTATGACTCGAGTGATTGCTTGTTCATAATAGGGATGAGAATTGACCTCGTTGCCTGACCTCTACACGTTTTTACCTAACTACATCCCTTCGAATCTGCAGTTTGATGGTTCACCATCAAGCACAACACCGTCCTGCTTAGGTGGCGGTTGTGGGTTGCCAGCTTTCATTATTGTCGTTGTTAACTTAATTACTTGGGAATTTATGCAACAACCCAATAATACATGACGCGAGTTCGAGCCTCTGACTACGTGATACGGAACGTAAACCTCGCCCCAACCCATCTCGCATAAATGTTAATTTAATAAGAGCGTGAGAAGAGTAGTGTAGATATTCAATAGTGAGATTACGACCCCAGTTCCCATTCGCACAGTTTTTTTTTTTTTTTTTGAGATATATACAAGAGTTGTTACATTCTTGTACAGCCACTAGTACGCGTAGCGTTTCGGGCAAGTCCTTAATCCTATGGTCCCTGGAATACGATCCCCTGCCGCGAAGAATCGTTTTTTCATCCAAGTACACATTTTACTGTTGCGTTAAACAGAGGCTACAGTTAAGGAATTGCGCCCAGTAAATCCTCCCCGGCCAGGATACGAACCCATGACATAGCGCTCGCGGAACGACAGGCGAGTGTCTTACCACTACACCACGGAGACTGTAAAGAAGTTACATAGAGTGTTCAGGGTTGGGAGATTAGTCATTTACATCCACTTGCCACACATATATCAGAAAATAGCCTAATCCTGGCTATTTTACTATGTCACACACACGCTAGTAGATGTCATTTACTACCCATATATATATAATATTTGTTTCGCGTGCTAGTTTAATTGCTCTTGTCATCATGATATGAGTTATATTTGTGTGAGGTGGCATTGATTTGAAAGAGAATCTGATCCCTTTATGCGGCGATGGCTATTATAAGGTAGTTGGTATGTAGTAGAAGTGTTCAAACACTCTAATAGCAGACCTTGAATGGCAGAAACATTTTGTGTTTCTAGTATACTAGCAGCTAGTTGGAGTGCAGTTAATTCCGTTGATGTCGTATAATTTATACATCAACGTATATATATAACAATTACATATATAACAATTTATATATAAAAATTACAAGAATTTATAGACTAGATTCAAGCATTATATGTGTGTTAAACTTACCATACAGACTGGTGTCTAGGGGTTCTTGTTGACAAATGAACAGACCCGTTGCACACCCACGTTGATCTGTTCAATGATCTGATTGTTCAGCGATCTGCTGAACGAGCCTCAACAGGGAAAACTGACCACATTAAACAAGCATTACGTTACATTTAAAAACCCCAATTGCTGACGTTTGATCGAAGGAAGGAAGCCGACAACGTGAGCGAGTGAGCGAGTGAGTGAGTGAGTGAGTGAGTGAGTGAGTGAGTGAGTGAGTGAGTGAGTGAGTGAGTGAGTGAGTGAGTGAGAGGCCAGATTCACAAAGCAGTTGCGCAAGCACTTACGAACCTGTACATCTTTTCTCAATCTTTGGCGGCTTTGTTTACAATTATTAAACAGTTAATGAGCTCCGAAGCTCCAGGAGGCTGTTTATAACAATAACAACAGTTGATTGGCAAGTTTTCATGCTTGTTAACTGTTTGATAAATGTAACCAAAGCCGTCAAAGATTGAGGAAAGATGTACACGTTCGTAAGTACTTGCGCAACTGCTTCGTGAATCTGGCCCCATGTGAAGATTTTGTTCTGGAAAAAATTATTTTTGTAATATTTCCCCAGGAGAAAGGGCAGGGAAACTGAGGGAGCAATTAAGTTGACGTGTGTTTTGGGGTATAATCACCAGAGGTCTCTGGCTGCCCTTGTCCTAAATGCCTCAGTGCCCTCTGAGCCGTTGGTGGGGGTAGTCTGACGGCCTCCCGTTACTCGCCTCGTTGGTAGTCGCCCTCGACGCCTTAGTAACGAGGATAGTTTAGAGTATTGTATGACTCGAGTGATTGCTTGTTCATAATAGGGATGAATTGACCTCGTTGCCTGACCTCTACACGTTTTTGCCTAACTACATCCCTTCAAACCTGTAGTTTGATGGTTCACCATCTAGCACAACACCGCCCTGCTTAGGTGACGGTTGTGGTTTGCCAGCTTTCATTATTGTCGTTGTTAACCTAATTACTTGGGAATTTATGCAACAACCCAATAATATATGACGCGAGTTCGAGCCTCTGGCTACGTGATATGGAACTTAAACCTCGCCCAAACCCATCTCTCATCTCGCATAAATGTTAATTCAATAAGAGCGTGAGATGAGTAGTGTAGATATTCAATAACGTTTTCCGTGAGATTACAACCCAGTTCCCATTCGCATAGTTGTTACATAGTGTGTTCAGGGTTGGGAGATTAGCCATTTACAACCACCTGCCACATATATCAGAAAATAGCCTAATTCAGGCTATTTTACTATGTCACACACACACTAGTAGATGTCATTTACTACCAATATATATATATAAAATATTTGTTTCGCATGCTAATTTAGTTGCTCTTGTCATCATGATGAGTTATATTTGTGTGAGTTGGCATTGATTTGAAAGAGATTCTGAACCCTTTATGCGGCGATGGCTATTATAAGGTAGTTGGTATGTAGCAGAAGTGTTCAAACACTCTAATAGCAGACCTTGAATGGCAGAAACACTTTGTGTTTCTAGTATACTAGCAACTTGTTGTAGTGCAGTTAATTCCGTTGATGTCGTATAATTTATACATCAACGTATATATATATAACAATTACATATATAACAATTACAAGAATTTTTAGACTAGATTCAAGCATTATATCTGTGTAAAACTTACCATACAGGCTGGTGTCTAGGGGTTCTTGTTGAGAAATGAACAGACCCGTTGCACACCCACGTTGATCTGTTCAATGATCTGATTGTCAGCGATCTGCTGAACGAGCCTCGACAGGGAAAAACTGAACACATTAAACAAGCATTACGTTACATTTAAAAAAAATAATTGCTGTAGTTTGATCGAAGGAAGGACGCCAACGACGTGAGTGAGCGAGTGAGCGAGCGAGTGAGAGTGAGAGAGAGAGTGAGTGAGTGAGTGAGTGAGTGAGTGAGTGAGTGAGTGAGTGAGTGAGTGAGTGAGTGAGTGAGAGAGTGAGAGTGAGTGAGTGAGTGAGTGAGTGAGTGAGTGAGTGAGTGAGTGAGTGAGTGAGTGAGTGAGTGAGTGAGTGAGTGAGTGAGTGAGTGAGTGAGAGAGAGTGAGAGAGTGAGTGAGAGAGAGAGAGTGAGTGAGTGAGTGAGAGAGAGAGAGAGAGAGAGTGAGTGAGTGAGTGAGTGAGTGAGTGAGTGAGTGAGTGAGTGAGTGAGTGAGTGAGTGAGTGAGTGAGTGAGTGAGTGAGTGAGTGAGTGAGTGAGTGAGTGAGTGAGTGAGTGAGTGAGTGAGTGAGCAGAGCAGAAGCGAGCGAGCGAGCGAGTGAGACAGACAGAGACAGACAGACAGACAGAGAGACAGACAGAGAGAGAGTGAGACAGAGAGACAGACAGACAGACAGACAGACAGACAGAGAGACAGAGACAGAGACACAAACAGACAGAAAGACACAGACAGACAGACAGAACACCTGAACGAGGCCATTAGGTGTGACGGAACTGGCAGCGGTGGGTGGTGATTGGTGCCTCTCGGCCAACTGGGCCGAGTTACCTTGCTCTAATTGGACTGTAAACAACCTTCACAAGGTAGTGAGGCGAGTTGATTCCTTCTTGACGTACACAAAACGCAAAGGGACGTGTGTTTGTGTGTATAAAAGCGAGCGTTTTAAACAGAAGTGGCCATATAGAAGTATTATAAACAATAGTGTCTATATAATTGTGAATATTACAAATAAAAGTGGACATTATTTACAAGGCATTATATAAAAGAGAACTTGATAAATAATGCACAATATAAAAATGAACATTAACAAGAGAACAATAGATAAAAGTGAACCATTTAAATAAAAGTGCCTATATAAAAGTGAACCTTATCAATAGGGCCTATATAAAAAGTGGACCTTATAAAAAAGTGCCTTTAAAAAAGTGACCTTTATTAATAGTGCCTATATAAAAGTGAACCTTATAAACAAAGGTGCCTATTTAAAAGTGAACCTTACCAAAAGTGTCTGTATAAAAGTGAACCATATAAACAAAAGTGTATATAAAAATGTGAACCTTATAAACAAAAG